TTGGGGGGGGGAGGGGGGGGGGCCGGCCGAACCGGGATCATATATATATATATGTATATATATATATATATATATATATGTAGGGAGGCTTTGGGCTTGAAATGGGTTGCGAATTGCGCTTGTGTCGTTCTGCGCCCGAAACAAACCCGCAGACAGGACCTCCAATTTCGCGGTATGTCGGACGATCTGTACCTATACTTGTTCCTGCTGCGTTTGCGTTCGAGGCCATTTTCTGCAGGCTTGCTTTATCTTTCTGTCGGTGGACCCACTGTCAACATCCATGGCCCGTCCCATCGAGCTCCACTTTTATCTCGCATGTCGTTTCTCCGCACTGTCCGGCAATTCTCGAGAAGTCAAGCCTTGGCATTCTGGGCTCACCGTGGCTTTGGGCTGGATTGCAAGGGCAAGGGAATCTGAAGCACACCTAGCTACAGGATTTGCGGGGCCCGTGGTGCAGTTTCGTCGCAGTGATGGCCAGACGGCCTTGTCGGGCGACAGGGTGTAGGGCGAACAGTGCATGAGCCAAGCTTTCCTTAAGCAGTCGCAACCAGAAGGACTGCAAGCCGACCCGATCAGCACAAGGATGCTCCGAGTGTACGGGTATATGTGCCTCTGCTCACAGGTTTGTGAGTGAACGGCCGAACGGTGAGTTCAAGGAATGAGTTAACCCTTCGAAATAATGGGATGCTTGTCACTGGGAGCTGCCACCAACGTCAAGGAGCCCTCAATCCTGCAAAACTCTCCGACACCCTATATTGCATCTACGTAGGGCCTTATCTAATCGCGATAGGGTTCGGGGACAGCGGCGCATAATGAATTAGAAAGGGTTATAAGGGGACGCCCGAAATCGTGGCACAGGCCAGACGCCAGGCCCGGCCTACGACGCCGCCGTCCCGGCTTTCGACGGCTCAGGTGCGATCCTGGTCATTGAAATCTCAGAGGTTTCGGAAGCTTGGTCAAAGGCAAGCGATTCATCATGAAGGCCGCAGGTGTCGCCCCGTGTAGGGAAGGTGTGACCCACTGGTGTGACCCCTGCAACAGTAATGTCGGATTTTGTGTTTGTTTGGGAGCTCTTCTGTCAGCCCGTGCAGGTCGTCATCAAGTCGCACCCAGGTTCACAGGCCGAGACGCATCTACTTGCATACACACGTACGTCAACACAGACATGCTTGCATGCAAGCATTGCGTTGCAAAAATTTATATTGCTTTGCATTGAGTTGCAGTGCCTGGCGTACCGTACATACCGACATGCATACATAACTGCTGAATAGAAAGTAGCGGAATGAACATGTATGTTCGTGTGTAACTAGATCTATATAGATATATACACATACACGCATATTGGGTACAAACGTTCTATATATATATATATGTATATATATATATATATTTACACACACACACACCTCTACACGGTTCATCGTTGTGCATGTGCTCATTACATTTCCGTTTGGCAGTGGTAGTGGTAGTGGTGGTAGTAGTAGTAGTAGTAGTAGTAGTAGTAGTAGTATAGTAGTATTGTAGTATTGTAGTATAGTAGTATAGTAGTATAGTAGTATAGTAGTATAGTAGTAGTAGTCGTCGTCGTCGTCGTCGTCGTCGTAGTGGTAGTGGTAGTGGTAGTGGTAGTGGTAGTGGTAGTGGTAGTGGTAGTGGTAGTAGGACTAGGACGAGTAGGAGTTTTTAGTAGTGGTACGTAATAGCAGTCGTCGTAGTAGTAGTGGTGGTGGTAGTGGTCGTGGTAGTGGTAGTGATAGTGGTAGTGGTAGTAGTAGCACAAGGAGCAGTAGCCGTAGCAGTAGCAGTAGCAGTAGCAGTAGTCGTCGTCGTCGCCGTCGTCGTAGTAGTCCCGGTCGAAGTCGTAGTCGTAGTCGTCGTAGCAGTGTCGCAGTCCCAGTTGCTGCGACAGCAGGAGTAGCTGCAGATGACTGGAAATTGCCGTGTTCTGAACTTGTTGACCATACTGAGTGTGGAGATCGTGCTGACGACGATGATGCTGGCAGTGGTGAATGTGGCGATAGCAGGGCTCTTTTGACATGCCCAAACCCAGATTGTGATGACGTTGCGGCAGGTTCCGTCGCGCCGGCCCACGCAGGCCGCCAGAAACATGTAGGTTGAAGACTTTTGGACAGCCTCGGACGCGTCGCAGTTACAAAAGTTCTGAAATCATGAGGCAGGCCGGGAATAGGAGAAGGCCGAATATATTAAAGATGTCACTGGGAGATTCGTTACAACTACTGCTGCCCGCGAGTGAAGCTTCGACTGCAAAGTCAGCCGCGATGGTGTTCTTGCATGGTCTAGAGCTTTTTGAACAGTGCGCGCTCCTCGAAAGCAATGGGGGGACTTTGCAAAGGTGTATAAACTTGTAGAGCAGGCAACCTGTATCGTTGCTGGGCTCATAAAACCCAGCAAGATGAACAGGTTAATACCGCTGCAGATTGTTGGAACAGCCATTTGATCCAATGTGGGCCCCTTCATCGTGCACTTTCGGCTGTGGTTCTGGAGTTTGCATCGGAACGATGCTTACTCTTGGCCCGGCCCAGACCAACTGAGAGTGACCTGTGAGGTGCTTGTCCCCCCTGGCCGGCTCACCCAGGCGTCTCGACCGCAATCTGTTTGTCGTTGAAAGGAAAAAAGGGCCTGAACCCCTGCCTAAAGAAGGAGTTCACTTAAAAGACCGAGGATTGGTGGGGAGCAAGATGCTTAGGAGTACTGTTTGACTCAAGGCAACCCCACATTGAGCACCGATGACCTCTGCTTTCACCCGAACATCACGTGCCCTGGCCGCGCAAAGAAGTAGGTTTCAGACCACTTGCAACCTCAGGTTCAAGTCATCTCGGACCAGGTGTCGCCCGCGCAGGCCTGTATGCATGATCCTTGCTCCGGGATCCCCGCATCTGTCGGAGTTTGAAGGATCCAGGTCTTCCGATGAGTGTCGGTAGTCGTGGTGTCACCTGGGCTTTTTGATCGAAGATGGCTGGGTAGCACTGTTGGTCTGCGGATTTTCCTGGCTGGCTGCTCTCGCTGAAAGCGTAGGTCACCAGACAGCTGCTGTAATTGCCTCTCACTTTCGCAGCATGTTTGGGAGTTGTTTGGATTTGAGGATCTGAGCTTAGCCCGTAGAAAACAGACCCTTTAAAGCCTCGGTTTCCGTCAGTTCCTCCGCGCTTCTGCCTTGAAGGTGCTGTCGGCGCGCAGTGATGTCAAGGCCGATGCGGGGCAAGTAGGGCCACGGAAATGCAGGCCAAGCATCCGTGGAAAGTGCTCGCTGCTAGCTTATCGTTAGCACCATTTGTATGATGATGAAGACAATTATTCTGGATACGTCGGACTCAGGCTGCTGTGGGGCCATGGGGCCTGGAGCTTTCCAAACTCACTCTTCAGCAACAGCCCTGAACACTTCGAACTTGAAAGAGTTGGATAATCGTTACAGCGTGAGACGAAAAACATGAACACTGCGAAGCCAGTCATGAATCGCCCTCACCCCCCCACGCCCCCCCCCCCCNNGGTTGGTATTGGATTACGACATCACGAGCGTACTGTAAATACCGAGTAATATGGATGTGCGCTTAAACGGTGTTTAGGAGAGGTAGTTGGTAGGTGGGGCGGGGGGCCTCCTCCTACTACTGCTACTGTTGTTGGGGTCACAACCTACATCTCCGATAACCCGTTGCCAAGCAAGACCTCGCAGTGCTGTCGATGGCGTGCCAAGTGTGTGACAAAGAAGCTGCTACTACTACTCCTACTGCTCTGCTAGTGCTGCTGCTACTGCTACTTGTATTGCTAGTGCTACCACCACCGCTGCTGCTATTGCTACTACTGCTCCGGCGGCTGCTGCTTCTGCTCCTGCTACTGCTGCTACTACTAGTAGTATACAGTATAACTTTATAACATCAACAACGACTGCGACTTTCGACTGCGACGCTGCTGCTGCTGCTGCTGCTGCTGCTACTACTACTACTACTACTGCTACTACTACGACGACGACTACTGCTACTACTGCTACCACCGCCACCACGATGACGACGACGACTACTACTACTACTGCTGCTGCTACTACTACTGTTGCTGCTACTACTACTACTACCACCACCACCAACTGCCACTGCCGCTGCCGCTGCCACTACTACCACTGCCACTTCCCCCGAAGCGAAAAAACACCACTACAACCACCACGACCACGACCACGACCACTACCACTGCTGCCGCTGCTGCTACTGCTACTACCACTACCACTACTACTACTACTACTACTACTACTACGACGACGACTACTTCTACTACTGTAGCATGACAACAGTTTCCAAGATGCTCAGTAGAAAGCGGGCTGTCTCCCAGTCC